TGGGGAGCAGAGGGTCAAAGGTGAAGGCTATGGGAACCAAGGGCATGGGTGGGGGCAGCCCAGCAAGGATGAAGCCCACAGACTCGTGTGTTGGGGCTGGGAGATCGTCTGAGCCGACCATCTTGTTGTACAGATGAGATAACTGATAACTGAGGCCCCAGCAGAGCTAAGACCCAAACCCAGCTGGGTCTGATTCCATAGCCCATGTTTTCACTACATCGTGTGTCCTCACACAGGAGCAGGACCCTCTGGCGCCCCTTTGACATGCACATGTATCTGTCCTCTGGGACCAGGGAGCTCCTGTTAGGCCAGGCCCCTCAGGAAGAATTTAAAGGACAGAAACCGAATCCTAGCCAGAGTGCTGGTTTGCAGCTGCAGCTCCAAAAGTGTCATTCATTCCGTCTCTGTGTGTTTACTGAGAGCTGCTATGTGCCAGGTACCTTTCTAGGCTCTGGGAATTCAGCAGTGAACGCAACCAAAACTTCCCCACTCCCATGGCACTGAGACAAGACAGTAATCAACGCAAAAAGTAGACGGTGCATCAGATGGTGAGAGGTGCTAAGGAGAAACGAAGGCAGGGGAGGGAGACAGGGTATGTGCCTGTGTTGGAGGAGGGATCTGGAATTTTTTTTTTTTTTTTTTTGAGACAGAGTCTCACTTTGTTGCCTGGGCTAGAGTGCCATGGCATCATCTTAGCTCACAGCAACCTCAAACTCCTGGGCTCAAGCGATCCTCCTGCCTCAGCCTCCCGAGTAGCTGGGACTACAGGCATGCGCCACCATGCCCGGCTAGTTTTTTCTATATATTTTTAGTTGTCCAATTAATTTCTTTGTATTTTTAGTGGAGACGGGGTCTCGCTCTTGCTCAGGCTGGTTTCGAACTCCTAAGCTCAAACAATCCGCCCGCCTCGGCCTCCCAGAGAGCTGGGATTACAGGCGTGAGCCACTGCGCCCGGCCTGGAATTTTTTAATAGGGTACTCAGGGAAGGCCTCTTAGAGAAAGTCAATCATGTGCATATCTAGGGGAAAGGAGTCCAGGAAGAGGAAGCAGCGTGTGCAAAGGCCCCAGGGCAGGAGTGCTTGGTGTGTTTGAGGAGTTGCATGGCATTTAGCAGCAACTTCTCATCTTCAGCTTCGCAGCTGCCCTCTGGGGCTGTGTGCCACTCTTGGCTTTGCCGAGGCCGATAATCTGAGCTGATCACTGTTGGGCCTCACTGCCACATGCCAGGTGCTTCATCAGAGGCTTCCCCTTAGACGGTCTCCTCTACTCCTCCCTTCCATCCTCGGCCAACAGAAGAGGAACTGGAGACTCGGAGGGTCTTGGTGGTTTGCCCAAGGTCAAAGTGAGTGACATAGCCGGGGCTCAGTCCCAGGCCTGCCTGACACCCCTAGTGTCCTTGTACTCAAGCCAGGTCTCAGCAGTCCCAGCCCGCCAAAGCTGGTCATGGTGCATGAGTGGGAGAAACAAGGGCCCCAGCGGAAATCCTCTGTTGGGGCTGAGATGGCTGGGTGGAAACCCAAGCTGGGCCGGCCTGGGAGCCAGGCACAGACTAAGGATTTGGGAGAATGGGGCAAACTCCCTGCAGCCACGGCAGTGATCTCAGCCCACAGGTCAGCGTGCTGTCCCCGCCATGGGAGAGGCAAAGCCTTCATGCCATTGAGTCTGGGGAGTGGAGGAGGGCTCCCCAGAGCATCACCAAAGAGCCTACTGGGGGCTCTGGCATTGGCCACTCCCTCCCTTCATCCCAGGACTCTGTGGGAATCAGAGGAGAGTTCTAGAACGGGGTAGTGGAGCGTCTGCTGCAGCAGACACCCTTTACTTTTCACACTTAATCTTCACACCAAACCCCTGTGATATGAGGCTTCCAGAGAGGTTAATTCAGCTGCTGAGGGTCACGGTGCTAGGAAGGACACGGGATTCGAACCCAAGCACCTCACTTCTATTATCCGCCTCCATCCCCAGCCCCATCTCCATCTCCATCCCCACTACCTCCTTCCCTTGTCGCTGCCTCCTGTCAGCCTGTCTTCCTCCTACCTTCCAGTGCCTCTGCCTAGCTCGGAACCAGAGGCCAGGCAGCCACAGAGCAGGACAGTGGCCAGTGCCCTACAGGCCAGGGACACATGGTCGGGGCAGAGCTGCATGTCCTTCCTGTGTTTACTTAGAGCTTTACGTCTAGACTAGGAATTTCACCTCGAAACCCCAGTCCTGCCACAGCCCTCCTCTGTGAACCTGGAAAATAACGCAATCTGCTTGTGTCCACACTATGGGACTGTTGTGAGAATCGAATGAGGTGATTTGAGAAAAGCTCTTAGCAGAACACCCAGCGCCCAGTCACTGGAGTGGTGGGTTTGCCACCATTACAGGTGCTCCCGAGCCCACAGCAGAACAGGGAGCTCCTGAGCCCTGGTCCCCCCGCAGGGCACCCACCGCATCCCTTGGGAGGCTAATGTGAAACTGGAAGGGACCCTCTGAGGCAGTGAGCCTGGTGGTTCATGGCATCCTCGGCGTCCTAGGACCTGTGGACACACCTCGGGGCCATCCTGGGAAGGGGGGCTTGGGCGCTAAAGCTCCTCCCAATCTAAAAAGGTCTCCCTTTAATCTGTTTCATATGTTGCACATTTACTTCGTGTTTTGTTTGAGGAAATCTGCTGGAAAAAACGTGAAAAGCTTGGATCAATGCTCATCTCTCATTTTGCCAATGTGGACGTGCAGGCTTCGGTGCAGGTCGCTGGCCAGGCCAGGACTGGACTGGAGGGCTGGGCCTGCCAGACCAGGGTGCCCTAACATCCCCACGGATTGCTTCCCTGTCCCAGGGCTATGGAACTGCGCTCAGCTGTCCCTCCCAGGGCCTCAGAGTCGCTCTCATTGGCCACAGCCTCTGTAGGGCCCTGCCTACCAGGCAGCTCAGAAGCCTCTCTGGGTCCCTCTCGCTACTGGAGAGAAAGCGTGCTACCAGGCTGAGCTCCTCAGGCCATCAGAGAACATGCCCCGCAGGGAGCCTTGGTAGAGATGGCCGCCTCTGGCTGAGGCTGGCTTTGGCGCTTTGGCAGTGGAAGCACCTCCTCCTCGGCTGCCTCCCAGGCAGCCACATCTTTGCCTCTCAGGTTTCTGCTTGGGCTAGAGGTCTGGGAGGAAATGAGGAACCCACACTCTTCCTCACACCCCTCCTGCCTTTCTATAATAGTATACCGCCCTTTCTCCAGCTACCACCACCCCTGACCCCACTCCAGGCTGCAAAGTGAATAATATCTATCATTTCAACCACGGGAGCATTCATTTTAATATAGTAACAGCAGCTAAGATTTTTTGAAGTGCTTACCGTGGGCCAGTTCCTAGATATAGGAACTTAATTCTTGTACTTGATTCTCACAATAACCCAGCAAAAGAGGAAACATCATGCTCATTTTTGAGATCAGAATATGGAGGCTCACAGAGGTAAAGGAGCCCGTCAAAGGTCACACAGCTGACAAATGGCAGAGTCAGAGTCTGAGCCCAGATCTCTGCAGCCCCCCTATCTAACACGGCAGGCCTGTCTCTCCTCTGTCCCTTACCCTGCCTGCACTTTCCTTGTGGTCCTATCACCACCTGGCATTACATGTCACATCTGTGTGTGTTTATGATCAGTCTCCCCCTTTAGAACGTGAGCCATGGGTGAGCAGGGGATTTTGTCTGTTTTGCCCACTGCTGTATCCCTAAGGGGTGAAACAGTGCCTGGTTGCTCAAAAAATATCTGTTGGACACATGAATGTGTGGTGCCAGCATCCATGTGACTACCCCACTCTCCGCCCCCTGTGAATCCCGCCCTCATCCTAGGGGGCCCCCAGCTCCCATCTGGCTCTGCCAGCCCATGGCTGCAGCTTACTCTGCTGTGGCGAAGGCCAGGGTGAAGTTGTGCCGACGCTTCGTGGGGTCCAGCTCAGCATAGTCGAAGGCGTCCGGGAAGAACTTGTGGATGAGGGCGCAGAAGGCCATGCCGCTGCTCCAGCTGGAGGAGAAGTTCTGGATGTCCACGTGCTGCGGCAGGCGGGGCACAGAGCAGGCCTCGGTGAGCCTCAGCCAGGGGCCTGGGCTCGGCCCCGTTCCCACCCTCTCACCCATTGGGGTTGGCACCACTCAGACCCTCCCCAGTGCGGCCACCCTGGATCTCTGCCCCACCCACGTGTCCCTGTCCCATGCCCACCTCGTAGTTTCTTGTCATGGCCCGGCACCACTCCAAGAGCATGTTCTTGACACCGCCAATGGCTGCCCCGGCTGCCTTAGTGTTCCGGAACAGGGCAGTGGGGCCCGAGGCTGCCCTGTGAGGGGAGAGGGTTACAGGGCTGGGCCAGACGGGCAGGAGGCCATGAAGGGCCCCACTGGGTGGAGCCCCAGCCCCCAGATGTCAGTCCTCCTGCCTTGGCCTGGGCTGTCCCCACTGCCCCTCAGGCCACCCTCCCGCCGACCCATGGTTCCTAGGGAGAGCCCAGCCCCGCTCCTCGCCTGCCACCTACCCGCCAAACTTGTCCACGATGGCTTTGCGGTTCTGTGCACGGGGCCCCCGGGGCCGGGCAGGGGCTGACACCCTGCGCTCTGGTGGCTTCTCCTTCTTCTCCGCGGGAGGGGGCTCCGGGGGGCTCTGGGGCACGTCACTGGGTGAAGATTCACTATGTGGAGAGGTCCAGAGAAGTGTGAGAGGGGCTGGGACCAGCACCATAGGACGTGGGGGTGGGCCTGGGGGATCACTGCAGCTGTGGCGCCTGCAGTCGGCATACGTTTACTCTGTGCCCAGCATGGGGAGGGGGTGGAAGAGGGACAATGGGGCCCAGTCTAACTTTGGGGAGCATGTGGTCTGGTGAGGACGTGCGGGCAGGGCTAGGATATGTCTGGGATCTGACCTGAATCTGGATCCTGGCTTTGCCTCTTATTTGCTGTGTGATCTTGGGACTGTTACATCACTTCTCTGAGCCTCAGCTTCCTTATCTGTAAAATGGGGACAAGAATACCCACCTGAGAAGGTGGTTCTAAGGTCTGGTAAGAAAGTGAGTGTAAAGCACCCAGCTGGGCCTGCCACACAGCTGTGTGGATGCTCAGTGAATATTCACCGGTTATCTTTCCCTAAGAAAGGGACGAGGAGGTGGATTTCAGCTCAATATAAAGGAAGATTCTTCCAATGCCTGAAGCTGTGCGATGGCAAGGATAAGGCTATCAGTTTAACCAGCACCCACCGGGCGCCCCCGGGCACCATGCTAGAGTGCTCTGCACTCATTACATCACTTAAGCCTCGCAATAATCCTAGGAGGTAGAAACGATTGTTATGCCCACTTCACAGATAAGAAGAGGTTAGGTGACATGGCCAAGGTCACACAGCCAGTAAGTGGCAGAGCCATTGTCCAAACTCAGGCTTTCTGATCATGCTCTTATGGATGACGCTGGCACCATGGAAACATGGCGAGCTGCAAGATAAGGAGCTCCCAGGAAGGGCCAGGGGTGCTGAAGAGGAGACTTCAGCCACGGCATGGGAGGGGGACCAGGTGTCCTCCACGCTCCCTTCTGCCTATGGCTCCTTTGGTTTCCTGGCTCTGACCTGGGACAGGAGGCTGAATGCCAGGAATCCTGGAATACCTTGAAATCAGGTGGTGGGGGAGGCCCCGGCTGATGTGTGGTAGACTTTGAAGGGAGCGGGAGGTAGGGGAGGCGGGGCTGGAGCCCCCGAGTTTGACGTTACCTGGCTGAAGGACTGGTCTCTCCAGAAGCTGTGGAGCCTGGACCCAGCCCATCTGGAGGAGAGGAACAGGAGGGTGGGGAGTGGGGCTGTCCGTGATGTGCTCCTTGAGCCCCCTCCCGCAGGGTAGCCCCTGCAGCATCCTGTGGGCTCCAGGCTGTCACTCACCTGGGCTGAGGCTGTGGCCCTCCTCCGTGGGGCTCTCAGGCCACTCCTCGGGGGAGCTGGGAGTCCCCCCTGCCCCTCCCTCTGGCTCTTTGTCCACGTCCTGCTCCTGCTCTTCGCTGGGACTCCCTGGCTCCTGGAATGAACGAGGTCTGTGTGGGCCACAGTCACACAAGCGCCTGCCCTGGCTTTGTGAGGACCTCAGAAAGATCTGGAAGGCAGCCTGGGGCCACAGTGCTGCACCTCCCCCACACCGGACTCTTGATCTCTGCAGGAGGAAGACTGGACTTTCCCAAGGGAATAAAGCAGGGAGGGCTTGCTTCCCGGGGAGCAGGAGACCCTAGAGCTCTTGGGGGGGGTCCTCTTTCCTTTCTGCTGCCCCACTCACCACGCCCTCCTTGGCATCACTTCCGTCCTCCTCTTCCCCACCCGCCTCCTGAGGTTCGGCCTTGGCCTCGTTGTTCACAGCGGCCTTCAGAGATTCAGTCGTGGCCTCTTTGTCGGCAGCTTTCTCCTGGGGTTCGGCCGTGGGCTCCTCTGTCTTGCGGTTGTCCTCCTGAGAGGCCTCCTTGGCCGCCTCCTCCCCGCCAGCCTCCTTGGGTTCAGGCTTGTCTTCGTCACCGACACCGGCATTCTCCCCAGATTCAGGCTTGGCCTCCTTCCCATCAGCCTTCTGCTTCTCCGAGGCCAGTGTGCTCTCCTCTTTTTCCTCAGCCTCCTTGGGTTCGGATTTGGTCTCCTCTTTTTTGTCTGTCATCTCCTGAGAAGCCACTGTGGGCTCTTCCTTTGCAGCATCCTCGCTTGTAAGTTCAGCCTTGGCATCCTCTCTCCCACCAGCCTCCCTTTGGGCTTCCACCTTGACCTCATCTAACCCATTTGCTTCTGCTGAAATGCCGTCCTCGGCTGGGGCTTTTTCCTGCTTTCCTGCCCCGTCTGGAGGCTCCTCGTTGATGGTCTTCCCAGCCGTGCCCTTGGTCTCCTCTGCAGGGGCTCCAGCTCCTGGCGTCCCAGGGTTCTCTGTGGTGGGGGAGACAGGGGTCCCATCCTCAGAGTTCTTCTCTTCCTTCTGCTCCATCCCTAGAAGGAGAAGACAAGCAGGCCTGGTCAGGCCCCAGCCCAGCATGTGGTGAGGACCCCCCCTCCGAGAGCTCGGGCAAGGCAGTCAGGAGGTCAGTGATCCAGTCCTGGTTCCCCCACTACATGGACGTGAGACCCAAGTGTCCACTTCCCCTGTGGTAGAATGAAGGGTAGAAAACAGCTTCCCTAAAGGTGGGGTGGTTGGGCTGTGTTGACTTGATGTTGGATGATGTTCACCTAACGTCCCTCTGTATGTTCTGGCCTTGGCTTTAAAGAACACTGAATCACGGAATGCCTTTTCCATGATTTTGCCTCTTTTGGATTAAGCCAATGAGGCAGTCACAATTCGATACTAGCATCCTGAGCACCTGCGGAACAATTGCTCCTCTCCACCTACAGCAGGCAGGACTGTCTACCTAGAATTCAATGACACTGTTTGTTTCCATCCTATTTATACTTACAGTTACTTTCTATTTCTGGCAAGTGATATCAAGTTTCCATTTCCAACAATGATATAGTGTCTTCTAAAAATACATTTATCGAATTTAAAAATAAGTTAATTCAAAGGAAGGCTTTCAGGAAAGTAGAGTACAGGTGGTACAGATGTAACTAAATCAGAGGTGGTGTAAAAATGCCTGAAATTTGGCAACCCCAGGGCCAGTTGTTCTCTGGATCGCTGCCAGCTCTGCCAGCTCTGCCACCTCTGCCAGCCTGTGCTTCTCAGAAAAGGTGGCGCTGGACAAGGAAGAGTGTCCTTCGGTGAAGAATACAACCATAACTCTCCCTTGACTCTCTCTGCAGGGCAATCTGATCCTCCCAGCGCCCCTGGGGGTCGTGGGGGAGATTATGACACCTTAACTTGGAGTTTCCTATTTAAGTACCGTATATACTGTAGGATCTACAAAAACAGGTGGGTGGGGACGGAGCCAGCTCCTTTATCCTCCTGCTCTTCTTGGGGGTCTAGTTACAAAGAAAACAATCCCCAAATAGGGCTCATGGGGTATGACTCAGATAGTAAGAAAAGTGGACACTCCTGTCACTGGCTAAAAATACCTCCTGCCCTTTGCAGCACCATCTTTCTTGGTGATAGTACCCAGGGCACCTGGGTAATTGGGACAGAGGATGGGAGGAGGAAGATAGGCAGACAAGGGACAGGGCTCTGTTCCTGCCACCCACTCAGGTCTACTGCCCCCAGACCAGAGTCCCAGCACCCCTGGATTTAGTGTCCCCACCGTTGCCTAAGAAGCAGACTGGGATTTGTAAAGATGCTCACAGTGTCCTCCAACTCTATGCCTCCTGCCAGAGCCCCTTCGTGGTCCAGCGGCTCCAGTGATGTAGGAAAGTAAGCGGGGAAATGAGTCTGAGGGGTGGATGGATGCACATCAGCAGACAGCGGGAGTCATGGAGCTGGCCTTGCCCCTCCAGCTTCTACTCCCACTCTGGGATCTGAACAAGTCCCTTTCCCTCTCTGGGCCTCAGTTGCCACTGACAATGACAGGGTTCATCTAGGCCAGGCTTCCACACTGTGTTCTATGGAAAACTGGGGTCTCCCATGACATGAATAGGGGTTCTTGTAGGGGTAGGAGGAAGGTATATTCTCTGGTCAAAGTTGTTCCAAAAACAGCCTACACTTTAGCCTCTTACAGACATATGACGTCATTAGCACTTAGGTAGATTTCAGATACCAACCGGTAAAGAAACCTCAACTTTGCTTGAACTTCGTTTAACTCACTTTTCCCCAAATCTATTTGACCATGGATTTTTTTTTCTCCCTTTGTTTTCTTTTCTTTTTGCTTTGTTTTTCCTGAGAAGCATCTGCTGCCCTCTACAGAAATACCGGGTTCAGCAGAAGAGAGCATGGCAAATGCAGGCTAAATGATCCGCACAACTCCTTCCCTTCCTGCACTCCGCTCTTATTTGGAAGTTGGCGTGGAATAGCGGTGAAGACTATGGATTCTGGGGTCTTCCTGCGATGGGATCCCAGCTCCCACTGTTTACCAATTGTGTAACCTTGAGCAAGCTACCTACGTCTCTGTGTTCTGATTTCTGCAGGTAAAAATAGGTCCCACCCCATAGGGACAATGGAGGGTTAAGGAAGCCCATCCATAGGAAGTATCTGGAGGCATGCCTGGCACAGAGGCAGCTCTCAGTACTCTTCAGCTTGTGCCATGGGGACACTTGGGGACAGCCCTATGCCAGGCTAAGGCCCTGACCCAGGCTTGAGTGCATGTATTGGTGAGACAAGGCAGAGAGAACTGAATGTCAGTGAGATGCTAGATTTATACCTCAAAATGTGGCTGTATTTGGCTAAGGCATAGCTCAGTGCTCCAACCATCTTTCCTTCCATCTACACACCACACATTTAGGGTAGTAGAGGGCAAGGGCAGGTGCCTACACAGACACACAGACACACAGACACACACACACACACGCACACTCCACCCTCCAGGCTTGTTACAAATAAACAAGGAGTGAGGCGGCTCAGAAAGCTGAGAAACCAGGGCGCTGCTACCCGTCCCCAGCCTTCACAATTCTACAGCGTTTACAGTGTACCCTGCAGTGCCTGCTTGGTCTTGGTCATTCCTTGTGCTGACCCTTTGGCATAGGTGTCATTGAGGCTCAGGGAGTTGAGGTCCCTCGACTAAAGTTATAGGACAAATGGTCCAGCCGTATCTAGAACCCAGGTCTCCCGACTCCCAGTCCGGAGCCCATACCAAAGGTATGCTCCCACTCGCTCCTTAGCCCAGGGTCCCTCCACAGGCCCCAGACCAGAGCGGGGCCACCGCACTGGTCGGGAAGGGCAGTCAGATATGGCTGAGGAGTTCCTCTTTCTTTCTTCTAGGTGCACAGTAGGCCCTTCGGCAAAGTTTCTCCACCCCCACCTTCCTTTCTTGCTCTCTGCTTTCCTTCCTCCTTCCTTCCCCAGGAAGCCTCCATACCATCCCTGTTTTGTGTCCAAAGCAGCACTGCAGACAGCTCCCCTCTCTCTCTCTTCCTGTTTCTCCTGGCAGACGGGGAGGAAAAGGACCCAGGCCCAAGTTCCAAGCCCCAAGTAGCACAGACTACGCTCTGCTCGATGCTTCTGTGATGCCTCCCCCACTCGCTGCTGCCTGATCCGTCTTCCCCTTACCCCAGCCAGGGACCCTTGTCTTGAAGAAGCGACTCTCAACTGCTTAGCAGGGTAGGGAACCTGTGGCCTTCTGATTTCAAGATTGTTCTTTTTTAAGCACCAAAGGAGGCAAGAAAAGCTTCATCTTTCTATGTTGCATCCTCTCTTTTTTTGTTGTTTTTTTGAGACAGAGCAATCTCCCACCTTGGCCTCTGGCCTCCCAGAGTGCTAGGATTACATGTGTGAGCCAGTGAGTCCCGCCAGCCCCTTTTAATAAATGGATTTGTTCTTTAAAACTCGGATTTAGTCAAAAGGCCGCACTTAAGGACCTAGAAGGCCACGTGTGGCCTTAAGGCTGAGAGTCTGCCTACCAACCCAACTGGACTTTCTAGACTCCCAAGGGGCCCTCTCCCCGCTGCGGTCCTCCTCATGGTTGGCCACCTGCAGGCTTCTCTGTAGGTGATCTCAAGTTTGCCCAGCTCCCCAGGGCTGAGAGCCCTGGCATCTAACAAGGGTTGACATAGTGGTGGAGAAAATTAGGAAGGAGCCTGTATGTCTCCAACTGGGGGCCCCTCCTTGGAGGCTCTTGCCCTTGGGTGGTGAGAATGGGGATTGGCAAATGGGGAGGGAACTCTTAGAAAAGGGCCCAGGGCTTCTCCTACCTGTGGGGCCTCTGCCTGGGGCTCGGGAGCTGTCTCCTTCCTCCAGCTGAGTGGGCCTCACTCCCAGCTGCCTTTAAGCCCCAGCGGCCTCTAGCCCCCAGCTCTTTGGTCCCGCCTCTCGGCTTCCCTCCCCCTCCCACCCTACCCCACCCCCACCTCAAGAGGCTTGGGCGCCTGAAGAGCATTGTTTACTGCCCAGTTGGTACAACACTTTCCCCTAGACTGGGAGGCTCAGATTTCCCGTGAAGATCTGACAGGTGGCACCTTTCAATCACAGCACGTCCCTCCCGCCCTGACCCTAGCAGCATCTGTCCTGTGGTCACCTTTCTTCCCAGTGTGCTCTCCTGACCCTGGGGACCCCAACGACCATCTTCAGGGGCCATTTGGAGCATGTCCCAGCGCTCTGGCCTTTCCTGCCCATCCAGAGCCCAGGCGAGGCCTCCTGTGTTCCCTTCACACCGCCCCTGCCATGTTCCTTTACTCGTCCCTTTTCCTCTTCCTCAGACAAAAGCAGCTGCTCAAGGGTGGGCCAAGGAGGGGGTGAGTGGGGCAGCTGCCAGCACAGGGGATGAGCCTCGGGGCTCACACTGGACAGAGAGGTTTGGAGAGGGGAGGGGCACGGAGGACAAGAGTGACGGGGCGAGCTGACCGACCACCGGACTCGGAGTCTGGAAAATGCAAAACTCCTAAGTTCTATTTTGAGCCAAAGTGATGAGTACACAGTAGGCTCCGGACACATTTTTGTACTGAATTGAAATTTTGCTCAGAAAACATCTAAGCCCAGGGCCTAGCAAATTGCCTGCTTCATATCAGGTGCTCAATAAATATATACCGAATTAACTAATTAATTAATTAACAGAAATATGTAATAGGATCTTGAGGGCCTATGCCTGGGATGATCTGAGAGACCTTTTTGTGCAGCCAGGTTTGGGGACCAGTGATCCAACGGTCCAATATTAATTTATGGTTGCCGGCTACCTCTAGTATCACGTCTCCGTCACCCATCCAGACTTTATCTGTCCAAGATTGGTGAGTTCTTCCACATATCTCTCTGGCTTGCTGTCCTTTTATTTCTTTAAATTCATTTCTCTTCTTGTCCTACTGTTAGTAGACATTGAAAACTGCAAACCAGCAGCAGGTCATGGCATCACTCATTAAAAATTCTCCATTCAGTCCATTTGTTCATTGACTGAATGATTTTTGAGCACCCAGTATGTGCTGGGGACACAGTACTGCACAAAAGAGAAAATGGGCAAAGCCAGACGGTGGAGCTTCCATTTTAGTGCAGGGAGATAGACAGTTAGCCGGTAAATGAATACAAGATGTAGATTAGATAGTGATGGTTCTACAGAGAAAAATGACGCAGGGCAGAGGATGGGAAGGTGGTTTTTCTTGGAGAGGGCAGTATACGCTGTTAGATACAGTGGTCAAGGAAGGCATCCCTGAAAAGGTGATATTGCAGTAAAAACCGAAGGGTGAAAGTGAGGCGTGCAGCTCTCTGGGGAAAGAGCATCCCAGGCACAGGGAACGGCAACGAAAAAGTGGGAGTGTGCTTGGCATGATTGATGGACAGACAGGAGCCCAGCACAGCTGGGACAGAGTAATGGGACAGAATAGTGGGAGGCAAGAGGTAGTGGGAGGGTGAATCTTGTGGGGCCTGTTAGCCCATTGCGAGGACTGGCTTTTGCTCTGTGATTGGAAGTCATTGGAGTATTTTAGGTTGTGAAGAGATGTGATCTAACTTTAGTCTTTGACAGCATCATTCTGGCTGCTGTTTTAACACGAGAGTAAAGAGGAAGCATGGACAGAAGTCAAGAGAGCAGTCAAGAGACTAACCCACGTGCAAGACGGTGGTGGCTTGGACCCGAATGTCAGCAGTGGAGGTGAGGAGAAGTGGTGAGGAACAGTAACAGTGGAGACAGTCATTAAGCCTGGGTCAGCTTTCTCTTCGAGCTAATGGAAGGACTCAAGTCTTATTCTCTCATCTCCTGCTGATCACAGGGAGTTTGCGGAGACACCTGTCATTGTATTCTCTGCACCTTTCGTGAATGGTTAGGAACCATATGAAGAGATCATGGGTGACAACTCTGCATCCCTTTGTCTGGAGCTAGGGTGGCATCCAAGAGGACAATACTGACCCATGGTTAGTGACAAATACACAACTCCCCTCTGTGAGGCTTGGAAGATATAGAACGCAGGGTAGAGTGAGGGGCCAGCGTTTCGATATGGTGCTGATGGAGATCAGTTTTAGATGGCATGTCTGGAGTCCAGTGACATCTTCAAAGGCTAAGGCTCTCTAAGCTGTCTTTTACAAGAAGCAACTCAACAGGGACAATTAGAGATTCCTACCTGCAGGTCTCCAAATGCCCAACTGTATGAGAAAGACATGATCTCATGGTAGATAATAATAACAATAACATCATCATCAATAAGAACAATGACTTTTCCAGGGACTGAAGGGAGGGGGAAATGGGGAGTTGGTGTTCAATAGGTATAAAGTTTCAGTTATGCAAGATGAATAAATTCGAGAGATCTGTTTTACATTTTGGTGCATATAGTTAACAATACTATATTGTGCACTTAAAAATTTGTTAAGCAAGCAGATCTCGTGTTAAGTTTTCTTACCACAGTAAAAAAAAAAAGACACTTTTTAAATATTGGGGAAAATTGAATATGTGCGTTAGATTAAGAAATTACTGTAATTTTGAGGATATCAAAATGGCATGTGGGCCGGGAGCAGTGGCTTACACCTATAATCCCAGCAGTTTGGGAGGCTGAGATGAGAGGATTGCTTGAGGCCAGGAGTTCCAGACCAGCCTGTGCAACATAATGAGACTGCATGCCTACAAAAAATTTAAAAATTAGCTGGGTTTGGTGGTGCATGCCTGTAGTTCTAGCTGTTTAGGAACTGAGGCAGGGGGCTCACTTGAGCCCAGGAGTTTGAGGTTCCAGTGAGCTGTGATAGAGCCACTGTACTCCAGCCTGGGTTAACAGAACAAGACCCCGTCTCTAAAAAAGAAAAAAAAATTGAAAGAAAGAAAATGGCATTGTGGGAAAAAAAAGTCTTTATCTGTAGGATGAAGAAAATATGACCATGTGTTAACAATTGTTAAGTCCTAGTGATGGATATATGGAAGTTGACTATACTGTGCTTTCTACTTTCCTGAATGTTTTAAAGTTCCCCTATTAAAAGTCTAAAAATAAAAAAGAATAAGAACAATGATTTCTTTTTATTGAACATATACCAGGGACGAGGTGCTTTACTTACATAATCTTTTTGAGTTGTTGTCCTTTGTAGCAACTTTTTAAACTTTTTTATTTTGAAATAATTATAAATTCATAGAAAAATTGCATAAATAGTACAGAGAGGTCCTGTATACCCTTCGCCCAGCTTCTACTAAAGGTTAGATCTTATATAAATATATACAATATCAAAACCAGAAAACTGACATTGCTACAATGCGTGTATAGTTCTATGACATCTTATCCCATGTGTAGATCCTTGTAACTACCACCACATTTAGGATACAGGATCACTGCATCACCACAGAGAACTCTCTTGAGCTACCCTTCCATCAACCCTAACCCCAGGCAACCACTAATCTTTCCTCCATCTCTATAATTTTGTCATTTTGAGAACGTTATTTAAATGGAATTATACAGTATGTAACCTTTCATAATATCCCACTTAAGAAGTATATTCCTCTTATAAGGACCCATCTCCTTTCCCATGCAGTTCCATAATATGTTGACTATATTTTGAAAAGTAAAAACCAGGGCAAGATACGTCCACGAAAACATCTGTACAATAATATAATGGCAGCATTATTCATAATATCCCGAAACTAGAAACAAACCAAATGTCCATCAACAGGAGAATGGATGAATGAATTATGGTATACTCATTCAAACACTAGACAACAATAAAACAGAATGAATAGCAGATACACACAATATGGAAGAAATCTTAGAGACACTATGTTGAACTAAAGAAGTCAGGCACAAAACAGAAAATAATGAATAAGTCTATTCACATGAAATTCAAGAACAGGCAAAACTAATTGATGGTTATAGAAGTCGGAATAGTGGTTAACTTCAAGAAAGCAGGTATGGACTGGGAAAGAACATGACATAACTTTTTGGGGTGCAGGAAGTACTTTATATCTTGATCTAGGTGGTGGTTATATGAATGTGTATATATTTAAGCTTTTTGTATTTTACCCGTTTTACTGTATAGAATGTTATACCTCAATCTTAAAAAATCAGGGCACAGGATTTGACAAAAATGAGTTCTTAGAGCAGTAATGAATCCAATTGTTTAAAATCAGGACTGTCTCGAACAGTTAGGGAATCTCATGATGTCCATACAAATGTCCAAGGCCTGGCGCGGTGGTTCACAGCTGTAATCCCAGCGCGTTGGGAAGCCGAGGCAGAAGGGTCATTTGAGGCCAGGAGTTCCAGACCAGCCTGGGCAACATAGCGAGCCCCACGTCTCTACCAAAAAAATTTTTTAAAAAAATTAGGTAGTCGTGTGCCTGTAGTCCCAGCTACTGAGGCAGGAGGATCTTGAGCCCAGGAGTTAGAGGTTGCTGTGAGCTATGATCGTGCCAATGCACTCCAGCCTGGGTAACGGAGGGAGACCCCGTCTCACCAAAAAAAAAAAAAAAAAAGCTTAGCCATCTTCTCCAAGAAGCAATGTATCCTTGTGTCATTAATTTACGTGTTGTACATTTATTTTATTGGGAAATTCTGTGAAAAATCAAAGGATTGAGGGTTGTTTCTTTTTGGTGAAGAAGTGGTGAATGGTGCAGATCAAGGAACACAGTTGTCTTCAAAGTTGAAAAGTTCACCAGCACTGCCTTCTCCCTCGCCCGAACGCATCTGATTAGCTTTGGTGGCATCCCAAATTGTTCTTATTCCTCTCATTGTGGTTGAGGGCATCTAACAGAAGGTGAATAAAACATACTCTATACATATCTCAACTTCCTCTGAGCAGGAACCGTGTCTCGCTTATCTTTGCAAACCTACAGGGGGCTTTGTGTGACCCGCACAGCGGTAATCGCACAACGTCCCGCGCAGCACTGGTTCTCAAATTTGGCTGCACATAGGAATCACCTGGGGAATTTTAAATTTTATTGCTTCCTAGGTCCTACTCCCATAGATTCTGATTTAATTGGTGTGAGGCGAGTCCTTAGCATTGAGATTTTTAAAAGCGTCCGGTTTTCACGTGCAACGAAAACTGAGGCCCGCTGTTTGGAGGGCGTTTCCTTTTCTGCACGCCTGATTTGTGCTCAGGACTCTGCCCTACGGGATCGAGGTGAGGTTCAATGATCTCCGTCGTCACGCCCCTTGGTACAGAACCAATAAACTCAAACCTCTCCGTGACAACCCCAGGGACTTGAATTCTAATCAGGCTGCGGGCGCTCTGCACCCCGCCCTCGCCTCTATGGTATCTTGGCGTCCCCTCTAGCATTTAAAAGTCGCCTTCCCAGTCAGCGGGGGCCGGCGCCTCCCTCTCTATGGTCGCCGATCTCCTAGCACCGCCTTGTTGGTATTTCATTCCGGAAGCGAGTCCGGATCAAAGAAGAGGAGGGACTTCACTCCCGGAAGTGATCCACGTGCTTCCGTTTTAGTTGGCCTGGGCACAGGGGTAGATTCTAGTGTACGCGCTAAGTTGGGGTCGCCGTGGACCTTGTGACCTGTCCCAGGCGGTGGTGAGTGATCCGTGACCTCTGACCTCAGTGTGACCCTGATAAAATGGTGTGGCCATTTCAGAGGTGCTGCCTTTGGGCCGGGTCCCGGGCGCCTCGGTTCAGTGTGGGATTTATTTCCCATGGCCCGGGGCTTCTGGCCCGCGGTTTAGAGTATTCTGCCCGGATCTGTGGATCATTTCTTGAATAGAAATGATCTCGAGGGACTGGGACATCGGGGCTGCGGGGCTCGATTTCCAGACCCGTTGTTGACGTCCTGTGTGACCTTGGGCTAGGCAGTGTTTCCCTTAGGGCTTCAGTTTCCACATCTGAAATGGGGTGGTTCAGCTCACTGAGGTCAGTGGCCCCTGCTGGTCTGATGCCCTACGATTCTTCTGCATCCTCTAGCCTCTGGGATGGGAGAGTGAACTGGAGGGGTTGGTGCTGACAGTGATGTCTGCCCCCAGGATTAGGAGGCCAGAAGGAGTTCCCTTCCACGGTGCCAGGCTGAGATGGATCCCCTCAGGGCCCAACAGCTGGCTGCGGAGCTGGAGGTGGAGATGATGGCCGATATGTACAACAGGTAAGGAGAGCCTACTCTGTGCTAGCCTGTCTTGGAAAATTAGCTTTGGTCACCCTTACCAAAAGGGGATGTCTTCTAACAAATTCCTTCCTGAACGTAGGGGAGCCTGAGGCCCATGCTTACCGTCCTCACACCCAGCCCCATGGTTGAACACTAAAGCAGGTGCAGTATAGGGTCACTGGAATGAGTTGGGCATTTAGATGGGGATGAAACTAACACTGAAAAAGCCAAGCAGGAAGAGAAGCTCCAATCCAGGCCCTGGTTAGATTCCAAAAACAGTCAAGCATTTGCCTTTTGACAAATAGCACATAGCCCATGTAGTAGTGAACATTTTTTAAACCCTTACCCTGTGTCAGGTACTTACTGAGCATTTTACACGTGTTACCTTTTTTTAATCTTCAGAATAAACCAGTGGGTTAATTTTATCAGTCCCATTTTAAGATGAGGAAATTAAGGCTTCGAAAGGTTAAATGACTTCCTCAGGGTCCACAGCTAGTCAGTAACAATGTCAGGACTAGTACCTCAGTCTGATTCCACAACTAGTACTCATGACCATTTGGCAAATTTGGGAACAAATCCTGGCTCCACTAATAACCATCATTATACTTAGTTACTTGGACCCTTTGACAATGGGTTTTCTCATCTATAAAATGGACATAATGATAGCACCTACCTCATAGAAACATCACAAATACTAAATGTATAAGAAAATGGTCTTAGCATCAAGCCTAACACATAGTAAACAAATGGTTGCTATTTTTATTGGTTTAAGTTCTTTTCATTGGTTGATTTATCTTGGAGGCTATAAATTAGAATGATTTTTAAATGTAGGCTATGAAGTCAGACTACGTGGGTTGGTAACCCAGCTTTGTGTGATCCTTAGTAAATTACTAAGCCTCTCTGTGACATAATTTCCACATCTATAAAATGGGAATAATGATTGTGCCTATCTCATAGGGTTATTGTAAGAATTGCATAACAGAATCCAGGTAAAGCACTTAGCATGATGCCTGGCACATAGCTAGTACTCAATAAATGGTTTCTGTTTAATTAGTCGTATATATGGACTCAGACAAGGTTCCTACTCACAAAGACGTTCCAAGATGATTGAGGTGCAAACTGAGGATTTACACTGCTTTCTTGGAGAAGGTAAAATCAGTATAGCAGGGCTGGAATGGTTGAGGGTTCCTGTGATGTGACAAGATGCTGCTAACACAACCTTGCCCCTCACTTCCTCCAGAATGACCAGTGCCTGCCACCGGAAGTGCGTGCCTCCCCACTACAAGGAAGCAGAGCTGTCCAAGGGCGAGTCTGTGTGCCTGGACCGATGTGTCTCCAAGTACCTGGACATCCATGAGCGGATGGGCAAAAAGTTGACAGAGTTGTCTATGCAGGATGAGGAGCTGATGAAGAGGGTACAGCAGAGCTCTGGACCCGCATGAGGCCCCAGACAGTATACACCCTGGGGTGCACCCCACACCTTCCCACTCTAATAAACGTGCCCCTGCTCGGGTGTCATCTGTGAAGACTGCCAGGCCTAGGCTCTCTCTAGAGTCTCCAGGAGCCCGGAGTGTGGTAGAGCTCTTTCCTGGTTGAAGAAGGGGTATTTGTCACACTGGAATGTGACTGTGTATGTGCGTGTATATGTGTATATATATATTAAAACAAGTTTGTTGACACCTGCTGTGTGCAAAGCAGTGTGCTTGGCATTTGAGAGTAAAGAAAACAGAGCCTCGACCAGCAGAGGAAGTCCAACCTAGTGTTTAAGAGTCTCCTAAGGTTTCACCCCGTGACTGCCACTTTCTGTGGCCCTTAACATGTCACTTCTGTGTACTTTAGCTTCCTCGTCTGTAAAGTGGGGATGATCTTAGGGCTATTGTGAAGATTTAATGAGTTAATATATGTAAAGCATATTATAATGCTTTCCCAGGTATAGCATAGTGACTGGGGCGTAGGAAGTAATAAATATTTAAAAAACAACTTGAACTTGAGTGGAGACAAACACACATTTCCAAAAATGATATGAAGAAATGATTTAGGGGAGAGGGTGAAAAGTAGCTGGGATTTAAGAAGTGAGTTTCCTGCTGGAGGTCACACAAGTGGAGCAGTAACATAGAGACCAGGGCTGACTGATGCATTTGCTGTCTTGCTCGGGAAGGACCAAGCCTAATTTTTTTCTTTTTCTTTTTTCCTTTATTTATTTACATTTTTTTCCTTTTTGCATATCATATTTTTGGTTTTTGCTAGTCAAGTGTGGTTGTGGGAGGAGACAAGCCTAATTTTGATCTGAATAGTGTCTTCAGAGGACTGCAGCTTTCAGAATGTGTGGGTCTCCAGGTGGGATTTTGGTTGACACCAATGCCACAGGGATAGTGGTACCTTCAAAGTGCGCCTTCATGGTGGAAGTGTCTGGGATATAACTATATAAGTCATTGGAGACAGTGAAGGAGACAGAATAGAGGAAGGGAGTTTTGGGGTTATGAGTGCAGGGTCAAGCCAGATTGCTTGAGTTTGAGTCTTGACCGAAATTTTTTAGCTATGTGATCTTGGGTGAGGCATTTAACTGCTCTGCACTTCAACTACCCCATCCATAAAATGGCAATAAAGGTACCTACTTCATTGGGCGGTTGTGAAAATTAAATGTGTTAATAAGCAAAGCACTTAGGAAAGTGCCTGGCATACATTAAGTACCAATAACGTTAGCTCTTTTCATTGCAAAGTTTGGTGTGAGGTGAAGAACCTCATGTACCCCTGACAAACTTCAAAACCATTAGGGGTGAAGCGGAGACCAGTAACGCTCCTTTCTAGGTACTGAAGTACAAATTTGGGTCAACAGGTGGCGCTGTCTGCTCACGGTCAGCGCCGCTGTGGACAATTCCACAAATGTTTATCACTTACCTGTTCTCCGCCAGCATCGCGCTTGGAAGAGAGGAGTGGCGAGGAGAATAGATATTGTATCTGCCCTCAGGTTTAGCAGGAAACATCAAGGATTCTCTGACAGCGCAGAGCTGGCACATCTAGAACGAGTGGTAGGAGTGGGGAGAAGAGGTTCCAGCTGGAGGGAATAGCACTTGCAAAGGCTTGAAGTGGCAGAAAGCGTGGAGCACTCAGGAAGTGAGAGGCTCAGTGCGGCTGCAGTGTGGGGTGCGCGGCGAGGAAAGGCTTGGAGGCTGGGCAGGCACAGCTCCAGAAAACACTGGTGAGCTGTGGTGAGGAGTTTGGACTTTCTCCTACTAACTGCATCAGCAAACTGTCAAAAGATTTATGTCTGTCAGTGTCAATGACAGGTCTGCATTTTGGAGGCTCACTCAAGCTGCCAGCCAGGGAGACAGTGGTAGAAGATAGTAGATAATGGATTAAGGGGCGGTGAGGCAGGGAGCCAGTGAGGACACAAGGGGGAGGATGCGAATCAGAATAGCTCACATTTAAGGGGTTGCTACAGTGTGCTAAGCTCTGGGCTAAATTCCTTAAATGTCTTACTTCAGTTAATCCTCATAACGACCCTGTGAGGCAGGTAAGATTATACAGGTGAAGAAGCTGAGGCTCTCAAAAGCTAGTAACTTGCCTAAGGTCATGCAGCAAGCAAGCGGCAGAGCCAGGATTCCAACTTAGATGCCAGGGGCCACTTTTAACCACTGCTCTAGGATTGGGGGAAATGGTCCCTAGCGAGATAGGTGTCAGCAGTTTCATAGTTCATTCAACAATATTTGTTGTTGGCCTGCTACATGCAAGGGGCTGTACAAAGTGCCCAAGGTGAATTAGCTGGGTCCCTGGCTCCATGAGCAAGTGGGGTGGAAGCAAGTGGGGAGGAGACAGAACATGCATACCAAGAACATAAGAAAGAAGAATGAGGTAGGCCCCTTCTGCCATAGGGAGGCGTCATAAACTGCTAATCCTCAGGTGTATTTTTGTTTGATTATCACAGTTTTGAAAGTCAGGGGGTGTCTGCAAAAAATCCAGACTTTGGCTTCTTTTCAAAATTTGGAAGATTTGACCACAGTTGACCTTGGCAGCAGCCTAATGCAGGATGGGCAGAGGCTTAATTGTCCACCAAACCTCCCACCACTATCTTCTTCCGTCCTTGTCATCAGCTGCTTGACCTGTAGGCATTTGGTCTGTGCCTTCTGCTCTGGGTGTTCAGATGAACTGGATGCTATATGAGAAACCATGCTGTAAATGTTTGTGCTAGGCAGCCTCAAAGATCACTGGGGTCCCCAGTGGTCCCTCCTTCCTGGGATTCATGCCCTTACCTAATCCCCTTCCCTTGAGCGTGTACTAGACCTAGAGACTTGCTTCTAATAAACAGAACACTACAAAGGTGTGGGATTGTACTGTCTTTTTCTTTTCTTTTTCTTTGTTTTTGAGACAGGGTCTCACTGTGTTGCCCAGGCTAGCATACAGTGGTGTGATCATAGCCCACTGCAACCTCAAACTGCTGGGCTCAAGTGATCCTCCTTCCTCAGCCTCTTGTGTAGCTGAGACTAAAAGTGCATGCTTCTTTACCCAGCTAAGCTTTCCAATTTTTGTAGAGATAGGGTCTCGTTGTGTTGTTCAGGCTGGTCTCAAACTCCTGGCCTCAAGCAAACCTCCTGCCTCAGCCTCCTGAGTAGCTAGGACTACAGGCATGAGCAACCAAGCCTGCCTGTAATGTCTGTTTTGTTAGTTTCTCTCTCTTGTTCCTCCTTCTTATTTACTCTGTGAAGCAAGCTTCCATGTTGTGAGCGGAACTTTGAAGAGGCCCACGTCATGGTAAGGAACTTAGGGCAGCCTCCAGCCAGCAGGAACTGAATCACTCACCACATGAGCGAGCTTGGAAGCAGATCCTTCCCCAGTTGAGCTTTCAGATGACTGCAGCTCTATCTGACACTTTGCAACTTTATGAGAGACCCCAAAGCAGTGGACCCAGCTAAGCTGCACCTTCTCTCCCGATCTAGAGAACCTGGAATAATAAATGTAGTTTTAAGCCACTATGTTTCAGGATAATTTGCTATGCAGCAATAGATAACCAATACACATATGGTCTGCATAACTTCTGCAAATGTCTGAGATGGTGCTTGGTCATTTTAAACCCACACATAGAATGTGCCAGGCACCATGCTAGGCACTTGGGATGCATCAATGAACAAAATGGGTACAGATCCTTGCCCTCTTGGAACTTATATTCTCGGTGGGGGACATAGTTTCTAAAAGTATTAATGGAAGTCTGGGTTGGCAGTGCTGTTTTGAAGGGAAGACAGTTCCTTCAGCATTTCGGGAAAGGTTCTTAACCTCTTTTAGGTCTTTGACCCCTTTGAAAACCTGACAAAAGTTATGGACTGTTTCCCCAAATTTGCATCCAATTTTAGAGATTTTTGTAAGATCTCCGTGGGCTGACCTGGGAGGAGTCTTGTGTTCAAGCATTGTTTTATGTGCTGGGGCAAAGAAGAACAAGATAGAAAATGTGGTATTGGAGACAGGTATGAAAACCAGTTGCTTTCACAGTCATGGTAGGTGTTATGAGAGATGTTCAGGGAGTGGTAAAAAGGAATGTGTCCCCTAGTCTGGGTGTCTAGGGAAGGCGGACACCCAGAAAGTGATAGGTGAGTAAGATTCTAAGGTAGGAATCTTCCAGGCAGGAGACATGGCGGGTGGAGGGTCCTGTGTTAGTGGTGGGCGGATAGTGGTAAGGAAGGTGGGCACGGGTCCCTGTGATCTGACTCATCAGGGGAACAGACACATCATGATGAGTTTTATCAAAAGGAAAACCAGAGGTTATATAGGTCACGCAGCAAAAGGATTTATTGCTGGAGTCAGGCAAGTTATTGCAAGTCAGGCCCTTAAAGGAAGTGACCCTTGAGTCAAGACCTAAAGAGTTGGTTAGCTAGGCCAGCACAGGGGAATGTTTCAGGATTAGGAAGAAACTTGAGGTGGGACAGAGCATGGAGTGTAAATGGATGTGAAGGAAGTCACCACAGTGAAAACATGAAGGGCAGACAGGCTAAAAGGGAGGCCGGGAGCAGCAGGTGGGCCCGGATGACACAGGACTCAGGGGACATGTTCAGGGGTGGGATTGGGAAGGCCAGGTTGGAAGGGTTGCAAGAGTCCAGACCCAAGCAGATGGTGATCTGGGCTTGGGGGGCAGCAGTGGCTGGAGATGAGAGGTCTTGAGAAGGCAGAAACCACAGGCTCACTGGCAGATTGCAGGTGGAGAGTGAGGCAGGGAGCGGAGTCTAGGATAACTCCAGTTTGTGGCTTACATGACTGGGTGGAGGGTGGTGCTTCTACCGACACCAGGAACAATGGAGGAGGGGCCGGTTAGGAAGAAGGGAGGTCATTTTTGATCACTTGAGATTACTGGGCACTCCTTATTGTCTCAGAAAATCCAAGGTATTCAGCCTCTGTCTACCATTCCTGCTGCAACCTCGCCGCGCCCCTCATGCTATGTGCTTTGTCCACACTGGCCTTTGTTCAGCTCCCCGAACGTCTCTTTCAAGCATCCTCCTGTTGTAGGATCTTTCATGTGCCGTTTCCTCCTTTGGGGTATTGATGAATCCACTGATTCTGACATGGAAAGCTATCTTCAGATCTTAGCACACACATCACCCTTAGAGATTCCTTTCTGACCTCCAGACTAGATCAAAGCCCCTTCCCCAATCACATGTTCTCATAGAACTACATGTCTCTCCTTCATGGAACTTCCTATAGATGAAATTACACTTAATATTTGATTACTTGATTCATTTATGCCTCTCTCCCACTGGACTTTGTGTTCTCTGAGGATAGGGTCTGTGTCTTATTCACCATCAAAAATTCCTAGTTGTTTTTTTTTTAAAATTGAGATATAATCCACATAGCACAAAATTCACCCTTTTAAAGTACACAATTCAGTGTATTGTACATTCACACAGTTGTACAGCCATCACCACTATCTAATTGCACATTTTCCTCACCCCAAGATGAAACCCCATAGCCATTAGCAGTCATTTTTCTCCCGCCTCCATCCCCCCACCCCAGTCTCCGGCAACCAGTCATCTATTTTCTGCTTCTATGGATTTGCCCATTCTGGCCATTCCATATAAACGCGATCATACAATATGTGACCTTTTGAGTCTGGCTTCTTTCACTTAGCATAATGTTTTCAAGGTTCCTCCACACTGTAGCATGTATTGATATTAGTACTTCATTACTTTTTATAGCCAAATAACATTATATCGCACGGATATACCACATTTTGTTTCTCCATTCATCAACCGATGGACTATTAGGTTGTTTGCACTTTTTGGCTTTCATGAATAATATGGCTATGAACATTCGTGTATAATTTTTATGTCAACATATGTTCTCAGTTCTCTTGGGTATAGTATATCCAGGAGTGGAATTGCTGGGTTATAATGGTAACTCTATGTTTAACTACAGGAGGAACCGCCAAACTGTTTTCCAAAGTGGCTGCACCATTTTATTTATATTTTTCATGGAAAGATTTATAAAAACTATTAGTTAGGCTAAATAAAGAATTTCTTGCACAATGAGTTAAAACAGATACTATTATTTTCAGCACTTAGCAGACTACAAAGCGAGGTTCAAGAGATTAAGTGACTCGGGCAAAATCACACAACTCACTAATCAGCTGCAAAGAAAGGATCTGGACCCAGCCTGTCTGCCTCCTGAGCCAGTGCTCTTGTCTACTAAGCTGGGAGGTCTCCAGCCAGGAGCCCAGCAGACACTGTGATATACTTAATCCAAGGGTGGAGTCAGAACAAAGTCTTAGGAAGGGATTACTTTCGGAGGAAGGGGAGATTGATAAATCCTATTGATTCAGATA